GCCACCGCCTGAGACTTCCTCACAATTCACTCACAAACGAGGCTCCCGCTCGAGACCCCCTCCATATTCAAGCCTGAGGAAGCCAAAAGTGACGATCGTTACAAGATCCCGATGACCCACTCGGATTGATAACATGATCTGCGGACTCCATAGGAGGGGGCCCCCGCCTGAGACTTCCTCGCATTTCACTCACAGACGAAGTTCCCGCTTGGTACTTCCTCCAAGACTGAGGAGGCCAAAGGCGACGACAGTTACAGGATCCCGATGACCAGCCCGGATTAAAAACATGATCTGCGGGACCTATAGTGAAGGGGCCTCCGCCTGAGACTTCCTCACAATTCACTCACAAACGAGGCCCCCACGCGAGACTCCCTCCAAAATTGCTTCCCGAAACTTATTAGCAGTCAACGACTGTCGGGAGCGGCAGGCGTCAGCCTCTCCCGCTCAGATGGACGGGACGCGGATGTCGCCGCCGTCCTTCTCGCAGTCCACGGAGCCTCCGTGGTCGTCGGTCTGGTGCCGCCTTGCAGATGTTGATCGAGATCCGTTCGACAACTGCATTCATGGCACAACTCTCTTGCAATAATGAAATCTCACGGTGCCCCTGCGGGCTGACGGCCCACTAGCGACCGACCTCTCATCGTTCTGACTCGAGGCGTGGTCCCTCGCGTGGCCCCTCGCGTTGCTCTTATGCTGCTCGGACTTCGTGAACTTTACCATGGTGTTTTTGCTCCATCTATCTCCCGCTCCTGGTGCCCAGTCCATCTTACGTCTGAGTGACTTCAGTGCGTACCTTGATGCCTGGCCCGCTGGCCACCCTTCGCAGCTGTTCACCATCTTGTTGCTCGGGTGCTTCTCCGCCGTAGCACCACAGCTCCAGCAGAAGTGCCGCTCCTTGTGCCTGGACCAGCAGATGACGTGCGCGTGGTGGGAGATCTTTCCCTTGAGGACCAGGTTGCGCTGAGCTCCTTCTTGATGTTCGTCTTGAGTCTGAGCTTCGCCTTTGCATTGTTGTAGCCACCACTTCACCTGCCGTGACCTCTGGTGATTCCCGATCGATCCCTTGCATCTCGCACACCTCCATGTTCGCCCTTCTGGTTGCAGTAGGTGTGGGGTGTGCTGCTTCAGGTACTCGAAGTTGTTCTTCACGTCCAGCGTTTTCTTCCTCTTGCTTTTCGCCTCAGCTTTTTCCTCCCACGTCATGGGCTTGGTCTTCTCGAACTGCTCCTTGTACGCCTGGCCGATGCGTGTCCTCACCAAGTGTGCCGTGGCCCTCGCCCAGTTGTAGCAGCCCATCTGCGCCTCTGAGATCTCGTGGGATGCCGCCGCCTCGCCCGCCAAGGAGTCCGCCTTCTGGTTGCCCTTCCACGCCTCCAGTGGTACTCCTCGTTCACGAGCTTGGTCGATCGTCATGTGGCTCTCGATGTGGCGCACCTGAATGTCCGCACCTCCTCGTACTTCTAGTCGTTGTCGCACTTTCTTCAACAGGTCGCCGTGGGCCTTCTTGTAGCCCGTGATGAGGTACCTGCGGCTGTGCCAACCTTTGCAAAGGATCTCCGAGTCCGTGTAGAAGACCAGGTCTCCCACCGTCGACTGGAGGCAGTCCAGGAACGCCGCAATCTCCGCCCTGTTGTTGCTTTGCCGAGCTCCAGGGAGGGGACCATGTACAGTGGCCGCCTCCTGCCAATTGCCGTTGTCACTCTGCATGAGCACCCAGCTCCAGCCGCACCTTCGGTACCTCGCGTCTTCTCCATGTGCTCCTCCACTGCCGTCACCACAGACGATCATGCCCTCCGCCAGGTACAGCTTGTCCCCCTGTGGGTCGTTGGTGATGTGAGCCGCCGTGCCTGTTCGTGTTGGTCCGTATTCCGTCTCGCAAGCTGGTGGCGTAGTCCATGCTCTCGGTGTGATACCTCGTAGCCAGAACGCTGCCCACTCTTGCTTCCCTTGGCGCGCGCGATTCACCAGGTTCTCGGTTTTCCTGTAGATGTTGCGGTCGCTCCTGCATCTGCAGCTCCCCCAGATGATGTGGAAGTCGTCCGCTATCTCGCCGCACTCGCACAGGTTGCAGGTATATTCGCCGAACGGCTCTCGCCTTCTCTGTGGTGACCACGTCCCTGCGCACGCTGCCGTGAGTATAGCTCCGAACATCTGGTACTTCTTGTATTTCCTGGGGCTCCTCAGCTGCATCTTCATGTCGTAGGTATCCGCTCCGTGCTGCAGTCCAGCTCCGTTGTGGTGTAGGCTGGCTTGTTGCCACCTTGCCTTCTTCAGGTCGATGGTGATTGCATCTAGCAGCACCGTGGGGTCATCGTCGCCGTCGTCTGGTTGAAGTTGCCAACCTCCTCCGTCAGCATCCTCCCAGAAGTCCGCCGTCTTCGCATCCCAGTTGATCTCCCAGAGCTGAAGGATGAGCGACCCTATGATGCCTCTTCTATGTTGCCATCTTGTCGTTTTCGGCGCTGCCAATAGTCTGCCTCGTATACGTGGCCATGCTCTGCGTACTCCTGCTCGTAGGTCTGGTCGGCTTGCCCAGAGGTCGAACCACGCTTGAATCTGGTTCTTGGGGATCGTGATGCCTGGGTCCGCTCCCTCCAAGTCCAGCAGCGTTGTGAGGCACCTACCTGGCCACGCTTTCCTGAGCCCTTTCGCGTACCTCCTCCTGATGGCCGTGAGCTCTGTGGGGCTGGCTCCGTACGCCCTCGTGCCGTAGCCGACCTGGGCCATGGGGCCCTGCTCGATTACCTGCCTCCTCGTCCTCGCCCTCTTGAGCTTCTTCGAGATTGCGGCAAACCTGTTGAATCCTTTCCTCTTCCGTGCACTGTGTGTCGCGCGTCTCGTACATGTCCGTCCTGCTCGATCCAGTCCAAGATCACGCCCTTCTGTGGCTCCCTTGATGTCCGCGCCCATGCACTTCAACCTCTTGGTGGCCCTCTTGGTCATGCCGAAGTCCGTGCTGAACAGTACCGGCTTGCCTGCCATGGAGAGGCCCTCGCTGTTGAGCTCCTTGGCTAGCACGAGGGTTGCAGTCACGATGCAGTCCTCGACCTGGGCGCAGCTGCCCACCGCGCGCAAGCCGATGTCGTCGAACCAGGTCCTCGGTTGCACCATCTTCACCTGGCTGTTCATGGCCTTCACCACACGGTAGATCAGGGTTCTCGCTAACTTGTTGCTGTGCCTGGAGCCCGCCAGCAGGCTTCTCTGCGCGTAGATCGGCAGGCTGCAGGCGCTACCCTCTTTCAGCATGCGCGGCGTGAGGTGCAGCAGCATGGCCATGGCGAGCACCCTCGGGGGGAAGCCGTACTCCAGCGCCCTCCGCGCGACCTTCTCAAAGACCAAGGAGTCGTAGAACCTCTTCACGTCTACCAAGGCGCACGCTGAGTGGGCTCCGAGCTCTTGCGTGGTCTCGTCTCCCAGCGCTCGCGCCATCGCCTCTCGCAGGCAGGAGTTCCCTGCCACGGCCGCGTCGAAGTCCTCCTCAACTTCCTTGGCCCATCTCCTGATCTGGTTCCAGTTGAGCAGCTCCCACGCTCTTGCGAACCAAGTGAGCAACGCAAGAGCTCGATCTCCTCCTCCTGTCAGCGCCGTCTCGTCTATCTTTTCCGCGTCCTTCGGCTGCAGCATGACCATCGCCTGTAGTGTCTGCCATGGCCACGCCACCTCCTCCTCGCAGCTGTTGTGCATGTCGATGAAGGCTAGCCTGCCGTTCTCAGGTAGCCTCCTCACGTCGTCCATGTTCATCATGTCCGTGCCCTTGCCCTTGTTGGGGATGCCCCTCATGGCCTCGTCGAACTCCTCCAATGTCCATCTCGGTGTAGGTTCCTCCTTCGCCCTGGCTCTTAGCATGTTGATCACCTCCACCGCCTCCTCATGAGAGCTCGTGTGCTTCCACATCTCCTCGATGTCCTCTGCCTTCAGATCGACGCTCTCCTTTGGGTTAGTTGCCTTTCTTCCTGACTTAATGTGCTCGTCCTCGTGTCTCCCCTTGGGCTTCGTGATCTTGTGCAGGGCCCCTGGTGCATTGGCTTCCATGTTGGCCAGCCACCTCGCGTAGTCTTTGGCCCCTCTCCTCAGGTCCTCCTTCAGCGCAATCTTCGCCTCCAGCTTGGCTTGCTTGACCATCCCTTCCAGCACGCTCTCCTCGACCATGCTAATCTGCTTGATGCGCTGGCTCCATATCTTCCTGTGTAGCTTTGCCGTCTTAGTGGCTGTTCGTCCCGCCGATGGCACGCCTTCCATCGCCAGCCTCCTGCAGCAATCCTCGAGCTGCTTGAGCTGGCTATCTTTCCTCCTCCTGGTCTTCAGCTTCGCGTAGGAATCGAGCGCTGTCGCCATCCTGCTCCACCAGTTGGTGCGCTTGCTGGTGTAGGTGACCCTACGCGCTCCTGACTCTCTCACCTCCTTCTCCTGGAAGATGCAAGCCTCTCCTGTGCCTTTGAACCTGGACTGGTCCTCCTCGTTGATGCTGGAGGCCTCGCAGTAGAAGCACTCCATGGTGGTGACCAGGTGGTGGTGCTGGATGCCCAGCTTCGTGGCCTCGGCGTGGGTCGCCTTGAACGCCGCCGAGTTGGCGATGTACACCGGTGTAGTCACCTTCTTCCTGTCGTGCTGCTTGGTGAAGTACTTGTCCCAGACGCCGTGCATCGTCGCTGTGTCCACATTTTGGTCGAGCTGTATGTTGGCCACCTGCACCTCCTCCAGCTCGCTGTCGCCTGCCTCGATGCCGTCCAAGGGGTCGGTACTTTGCACCTGGGCCGTCTCCTCTGGGTGTTCGCCCTGCGTCTTCTCGGCGGCGGTCGGGCGAACCCCCTCCTCGCTCTCGTAGTCCCACTCCTGGAAGTCCTCCTCGATGATGTCGGCTTCTGGGTTGTCCATGTCAGTGGGCGCTGTTCTCGACGGCTGATCTATGGCCCCTGTTACAGGCCTTTGTCTTTCGATCTGGCCCCTGTCACAGGCCGCGTTCTCTGTCTGGCCTCTGTCACAGGCCGTCATGACCCCTGTCACGGGTCCGCTTTCTGTAGTCGATGGCGTGGGCGTCGGCGCTTCCGAACCTTGGCCTCCATCTTCGCGTTCTTGCCGCCGCCGATGAGCTCCCCATTCCTGAAGTAGGTCATCTGGTAGGTCTCCATCTGGTAGAAGTGGGTATGATGTCCAGCCAATGGGTGATAGTGCTTCCCATCGAGTCTTCGAGTACATGACAGTTCTTCTTCACGATGTTGACGCTCTGTTTGCTCATGGTCTCGCCGTTGCGGTTCCTGTGCAAGACGTTCAGCTTGTTCCTGTTGCCGCTTTCGCTTCCTCCTCTGCGCCTTGCTGTCAGGGTTCGCCGCCTTCATCGTGTCACGCTTCGGGTGGCAGAACGCGCTCGGCATCCTCAGCACCCTCGTGATGTTGAGCTCGAGCTGGGCCTTGATGGTGAGCTGCTGGCCGATGTGGGGCTTCCAGCTGACCTCCGAAACCGCCTCGAGCGCGATGATGTGCTGGCAGGCTGCGGGGCTCGCCAGCACGAAGTCGATGAGCGAGGGCTCCGCGTCGGCCTTGTAGCAGGTCGGCGTGTCGCCTGGCACGGTGTAAATGCGCGCGTCGCCCAGGTAGTCGCAGAAGCCCTCCGCCGCGAACTTAGTCGGGCTAACATTGAAGCCCCCTGCGATGATCCAAGGCGTACGTAATGAACGTGTAAACCTCGCCACTTCTGCCAATCGCCGTGCATTGGCCCCCCCCTTCAGCGGGTGGTCGCACCTCAGGCAGAGCGAGATGACCACGAGGCTGTAGCCCTTCAAGTGCCACGTCATCGCAGTCCAGTCCTCCATCTGAAGTAGACCCATATCTTCGGCTCCCCCAACTTGTTCTTGTACCCCGCGGCTGCCAGCAGTAGCCCCTGAAACACTGCCATATGCCGCGAACTCCCGAACGAACGAGCTCTTGAAGTGCGACCTCGCGGCTATCATCACGCCTCCTTTCGAGCCCCCCTCGGACTTGACGGAAGGTTGAGATGCCGCGAAGCACGCCTTCAAACCCCACTTATTCAGAAGTGCCTCCTTCTCCTCCAGCAGGTGGTGGCGAAGGTGGGTCTCCTGGATCAGGTACGTGTCAAACCCCTGCCCACTGTGCTTGCTGCCATTGATCCTCAAGTGCTTGTCCCGAAGCCACGACTCCACAGTAGGGCCCCACTTCGTGATGTTGCCGGCGAAGATATTCCTGACGCCCTTGTCGGTCTTGCTGTTGCGGGCGCCAGGAAGCACTAGTCACTCCTGCTTGCCCCGGGCTGGCCCGCCTGTGCTGGCAAGCTTAGCCCTGGCCCGCGTGAGTGCCTCCTCCTCCAGGTCTGCGTCATCCTTGCTCCCGACTGGTTGGTCGACTGCAGCACTGCTAGCCGTTGGAGGCGGTGAGCTCGTCGGTGGTGGTTGCCCTGCAGATGCCGCCGCCTCTGCCGTTCCTTCCATGGCTGTGTCCTGCTGGGCTTCGACCTTCCGCTTCTTCGCCTCCTGCCGTATCGTCTCCTTGTTCGACGCCGCCATCTCCTTCGCACGCCTGATGTGCTCCTGCAGCTGGTTCGCGTACTCCTTGGCTCCCTGCTGGAGGTCGGCCAAGACCTTCCGCTTGGCCTCGGCTACCTCCTGGCGGGCAGCCTCGTCGACCTCGCTGTCCTCCAGCTCCAGCTCCTTCTCGAGGTCGATGACCCCTTCGAGCGCCATCTCCTCGGGGGTCTGGCTGATCAGCTGCTGCATGAAGCTTTGGTGCTTCACCTCCTTGCCCTCCGCGTGGATCTCTTCCAAGATGCTCTCCTTCTCGACTACGATGGCAGCCTTCTCGCTCAACTTGTCCTCTAGCTCTCGCAGCCAGGCCTTCTGCTTCTTGACTTCGGCCGCAATCGCCGTGAAGTGCTTGTTCGCAATCCCCAGGGCCTCGGCCGCTTCCGCCAAGCGCTCTGGCCTTGACTTCACCTTGATCGGGGCCGCCTCGGTCGCGATCTTCTGCGCTAGGCCCTTCATCTACGTACCGAGCTGCTCGCTGTTCTCCAGCTTCATCGTGCCCAGCTTCTCGGCGATGAGGACCGGCGCCTGCGAGAGCTCTTGCTTCTCCGCCTTCTGGCCTCCCCGCTGACGTCCACCGCTAGCTTAGCCCCATTGGCCGCTCGTTGATGAACTGGAGGCTACCTCGGTCTCTATCTTCCTGATGCTCTGCGGCTTCTTGAAGATGGCCTTGCAGTGGTGGCACTGCAGCCCAGGCTTCCAGCTGGAGTCCGTGATCCAGACCTTGCATCCCCACGTAGCACATCTAGTGTAGTCTTGGTGTTGGTTCCAGTCCTTATGCTTGTCCCAGTTCCAGGACTTCTTCGCCATGGTCCCGTGGTGGGACTCCAGCAGCTCGCGCGCCTGCGCCAGCGAGAGGAGCCTGCGGGCTGAGGATCGCCTCCGCCGCAGCCGTCTGTGCCACGCGGGCGAGGGGGATCGCTCCCGCTCGGGCGTGGCTGCGTCGCGCGCGCCCGCCGCCGCTGGGCCGCGGGCCGCGCGCTGGGCGCCTGGCTTGAGCCCGCGCCTACGCGAGACTCCCTCCATTTTCAAGCCTGGGGAAGCCAAAAGTGACGCCAGTTACACGATCCCGATGAACCGCTCGGATTAATAACATGATCTGCGGGCCCCATAAGGGAGGAGGCTCCCGCCTGACTTCCTCACAATTCACTCTCAGACGAGGCTCCCGTTCAATATTTCCTCCATATTCACGCCTGAGGAGGCCAAAAGTGACGACCATTACAGGATCCCGATGACCTGCTCGGATTAGTAACATCATCTACGGGCTCCATAGGGAGGGAATTCCTGCCTGAGACTTCCTCGCAATTCACCCATTGGAACCTATGAGTGAGTGAGTGAACAACTAAGGACAATTGAGTGGGTGAGTGGGATACACAGTGAGTAGGTTATGAGTGAATGAGAATGGTCGAGAAATTGTGAATGAGTGTGTAAGTGACGATGATGTGGTGGGGGTGGTGATGATGATGGTGTGAGTGTGCGAGTATGTGAGTGAATGGTAAGGGTGAGAGGGAGGAGTAGAGAGGCCAAAAAAACTGGCGAATGGCCCAACCAGATGCAGTTGTGGATACCGCAGCACTGCGCATCCACTTCGGTGGAGCTCCCTGTGCGGCCACCAAACGTGTGAGAGGTGTGCCGAAATGGGTGGCGGGGACGCACGTGGTCACAGCCACTGGGGCCTTCGGTGGAGCTCCCTGCGGGACCACGAAACGTGTGAGGAGTGCACCGACATGGGAGGCGGGGACACGTGCGGCCCCAGCCACTGGGGCCTTCGGTGGAGTTCCCTATGGGGCCACGAAACGTGTGAGGGGTGTGCCGAAATCGGCGGCGGGGACGCATGTAGTCACAGCCACTGGGGCCTTCGGTGGAGCTCCCTATGGGGCCGCGTCACGCGTGAGGAGTGCGCCGAAATGCGTGGCGAGGGCGCATGTGATCACAGCCACTGCGGCCTTCGGTGGACTTCCCATCGGGCCACGAAAAGTGTGAGAGGTGTGCCGGTAGTTTCTTCCCAACCCTCCTGCGTTGGGTTCTCGTTTTGAACAGAGCAGCTGCGATCGCGACTCCTCTCCTCTCCTCTCCCACCCCATCCTCATTTCCTCTTCCCCCCTGCTTCCTACCTCGCTCGCTCCTGCGTGCCAGTTTCTCCTACATCACCATCCCTGGAGGCTGCGATCTGCGAAACTGTCGCCACTTTCGAGGGCTGCTGGGGGCCCAGCGGAGTGGGGTCATACGCAGATTCAGATTAGACCTCGCCATCCCTGGGGGGGCTGCGATCTGCAAAACTGTCGCCACGTTCGAGGGCTGCTGGGGGGTCCAGCGGAGTGACGTCATAACGCAGATTCAGAGTAGACCTCGCCATCCCTGGGGGGCTGCGATCTGTGAAACTGACACCACTTTCGAGGGCTGCTGGGGGGCCCAGCGGAGTGGGGTCATACGCAAATTCAGATTAGACCTCGCCATCCCTGGGGGGCTGCGATCGGCGAAACTGTCACCACTTTCGAGGGCTGCTGGGGGGGCCCAGCGGAGTGGGGTCATACGCAGATTTAGACTAGACCTCGCCATGTCTGGGGGGCTGCGATCTGCGAAACCGTCACCACTTTCGAAGGCTGCTGGGGGGCCCAGCGAAGTGGGGTCATACGCTGATTCGGATTAGACCTCGCCATCCCTGCAGCCCTCGAAAGTGGCGACAGTTTCGCAGATCGCAGCCCCCCAGGGATGGCGAGGTCTAGTCTGAATCTGCGTATGACGTCTCTCCGCTGGGCCCCACAGCAGCCCTCGAAAGTGGTGACAGTTTCGCAGATCGCAGCCCCCAGGGATGGCGAGGTCTGATCTGAATCTGCGTATGACGTCATTCCGCTGGGCCCCCCCAGCAGCCCTCGACATTCGTGACAGTTTCGCAGATCGCAGTCCCCCAGGGATGGCGAGGTCTAGCCTGTATCTGCGCATGACGTCATTCCGCTGGCCCCCCCCGGCAGCCCTCGAAAGTGGCGACAGCTTCGCAGATCGCAGCCCCCCAGGGATGGCGAGGTCTAATCTGAATTTGCGTATGACCCCATTCCGCTGGGCCCCCCAGCAGCCCTCGAAAGTGGTGTCAGTTTCGCAGATCGCAGCCCCCCAGGGATGGCGAGGTCTAATCTGGATCTGCGTATGACCCCACTCCGCTGGGCCCCCAGCAGCCCTCGAAAGTGGTGTCAGTTTCGCAGATCGCAGCCCCCCAGGGATGGCGAGGTCTAATATGAATCTGCGTATGTAGTCACTCCGCTGGGCCCCCTAACAACCATCGAAAGTGGCGACCGTTTCGCAGATCGCAGCCCCGGGGCCCAGCGGAATGACGTCATACGCTGATTCAGAGTAGACCTCGCAATCACTGGGGGGCTGCGATCTGCGCAACTGTCGCCACGTTCGAGGGCTGCTGGGGGGCCCAGCGGAGTGGGGTCATACGGAGATTCAAAGTAGACCTCGCCATCCCTGGGGGGGCTGCGATCTGCGCAACTGTCGCCACTTTCGAGGGCTGCTGGGGGGCTCAGCGGAATGACGTCATACGCAGATTCAGATTAGACCTCGCCATCCCTGGGAGGCTGCGATCTGCGCAACTGTCGCCACTTTCGAGGGCTGCTGGGGGGCCCAGCGGAGTGACGTCATACGCAGATTCAGATTACCCCCCATTCCATCCTTCTCCTGCCCCTCGTTCCTGTCCCTGTTTTTCTTCGAGCCTGGGGCCTCAATCCTCGTTCTTTCGGTCGTCGCCCTGTGAGTCGTGCAACGCATGCACGTCCCATGTAGGTTGCGCAGCAATTCACCGCGTCTACACTGTCGCTGTTTCTGCTAATGTTGGCCTACTCCTCTTGCCACTTGATGCGCATGGGTTGGGCACGTCGCAGGGCAATTCCCAACCATCCTGTGGTGTTGGGTCCTCGTTTTGAAGAGACGGTCCCCGCGTTCTCCTCTCCTCTCCTCTCCTCTCCTCCTCCCCCTCCTCATCCCTCCTCCCCCTCTTCCCCGCGTTTCAACCACCCAGTACAGCGCTTCGTAGCCCCATAGGGAGCTCCACCGAAGGCCCCGGTGCCACCGTCCACATGCGTCCCCCCACTCAGTACAGCGCTTCGTGGCCCCATAGGGAGCTCCACCGAAGGCCCCAGTGACACCCTCCACATGCGTCCCCCCCACTCAGTACAGCGCTTCGTGGCCCCATAGGGAGCTCCACCGAAGGCCCCAGTGCCACGGTCCACACGCGTCCCCCCCACTCAGTACAGCGCTTCCCGTGGCCCCATAGGGAGCTCCACCGAAGCCCCGCAGCGATTCGCGGTGCCTGCGGCGGGAGGGGGAAGGAGAAGCGCTGCTAGGTACGCGTGTTTGTGACAACAAAACTGCGCAGTGTTCTCGCTCACAAAAACGGAGGAGTTCCTCTGGTAGCGGAACGTTCGAGCTCCGTCGGCCAGCCGTGGCAGGCTGGTGGGCGAGGGTCGGAAAGCCAGGTGACTCTGTTGCGAAGGGCGGCGTTCTGCACAGTGCCGTTATTGAGCTCGGGCAGGAGACGAGGATGATCAGAAGAGGGGAAGAGTCTAGGAGTAGGAAGAAGAGGGAGAAGGGGCGGTCCGTCCTATTAGGAACCTCCGAGGGTAAAGGTCACTGGGGTGAGAACCAGATCGAAGCCATGATATACAGATCGAAGCTCGGGCGCTGCAGAAAAAAACACGCAGAAGCAGCTGCCGCCACGTTCTGGCCCAGTAGGGAACACTAAAAGAGCATGATGAATTCGATGCAGCAACAGATCACAATCAGATCAGATCCACCGACAAGAACCTAGTTCTCTTGGCGGTAACAGAGGCCGACGGTTTGGCATCGGCACCCAGTTCGCCCTCGACGGCTCCCCGAAGCATCCTACTGAGAGCCCCCTCCATCTCTTTGCTCCTCCGCCTCTCGCCCCTCTCCCCGTGCCCTGCCGAGTGCCCGCCGGCGGCCGACGCAGCCGCCGCCCTGGCCGCCAGAAGCTGCGACATGCCGGCGACGCCGCGCGCACGAGCTGTGGCGCGCGGCCGCGGCCGCGGGGGCGGGGCCGCCGCAAATGGACGGCACAGCGCGGTCCTCGGTCCTACACGCAAATGGACGGCACAGCGTCGTGCTGATTCGGTCCTACACGCAAATGGACGGCACAGCGCGGGAAGGCCCGCCCGCCGTGAGTTCAAACTAGCATGGGAGACGAATGTGAAGCGTGAGGCGGCACGTCGGCTGGCACGCTTGCAGACGTCGGAGCCTGAAGCTGCACCCGACGGCAGCGCAGTCGGAGGAGCGACGCAGGCGGTGGCTCGCGGGCGGAGGAGGCAGGGCGGAGGCGGAGGAGAAGCGCGGGCGGAGGGACGAGGGCCGCCGCCGCAGGCGGGACGTCGGAGGAGGCAGAGGATGGAGCTTCTGGGTCGCGGGAGGGGAGGGGGGGGAGCTCAGAGGCGCGTGGTGCACACAAG